CACTATTATCAGGAGCAAAAGCTACAGGGGAAGAAAAATTGCTTCAGAAAATCTGATTCTAAGCTTCCCATGTACTTGGGTGTTTCCCAGAGATGGTAAACTCAGAAAGTGCTGTATACTCATCATTTTTTATTGCAAAATTCATTAAGCTGCCATGCTATTGTCATCCTATCTTGTCAAGATGATACGTGACAGACCTCATTGCAAAACTTTAACCAGCAGGAGAAGGTACACCTCTCTCCCCACCACTGCACGGGAAAGCCTCTGGGTATTTTGCTTTTTGCCTTAATATTTTTTGCGTAAAGCCTGTGTCTTTGCATAACTTGGTCTTTCTGGTAATTCCCTTTTCTCCCTGTCTGATCATGTGGAGAGAGAGTTCCCTCCTTTGGGCTCTGTGAGGCATCAGGAGCTGCTTTTAAAGAACAGTCACCTTCCCTCTTCTTTTTGACAGCTAGTCTCAGACATCATAGAAAAATGAGACGTGAGCCTGTATTCTGACAGACTTCCTTCCGTGCGTGGTGGGAAACCTCCCCCAAAGTGACGCCGACAGCCTGTGTTTCGTATTTACCCTTCAGCTCTGTGTAGTCAGGGAGCCAGGGGTGTTCAGGCCTGCCAGGACGTGTGAATTTGGCTTGGCTCTGTGTGTGCGCTCCTGGCCTCGCCTCTGGGTTCCATGATAAACAGAGACCCTACCTCTCATAGGGGGTGGGGTTGTCATTAGAGTGAGCAGGAGTCACTTGGTAAATATGGACAGTGAAGTCGCTTAGCTCCCAGATTTCCATGGCAACCACCAGAACAAGTACAATATCACCAAAATTCTTCTGTGGCTTTCTTTTTTTAGTTGCAGTGATTTGGTTGCATACTCATGTTTTTCCGCTTCTGATTTGTACAAAAAACAGACACTCTGCCCACTATAACCAGTACTTTGGTTTCAAGGGCATTAGCGGTCCCTGTCTGAAGCACCTGAAAAATTTAATAACGAAAACTGCCTCTTTCTGTGCTAGCAGAATACATTTTGATTGTTCATTGTTGCCTTATATTTATTATTTATCTTATAACCATTCGTGGAGCTTTGATGTATCCTCCACACGGGGTAGGCACCAGTAATGTATGAGCTGACACTGCCCTCCCAGGTCACTGGTCATGGATGCTTGATGTATTCTGTGTGGGCACACGTGCCCCTGCCCTTGAGTCATTTGCATTCTTAAGGACCTTGTCCACATCCAGTTTGTCACTCCTCATAGAACATAGGTTCATGAAATTGTCCAACGCATTACCCATACATGTTTATATTTGTTTGGAGACTTACTTTATTTTATCATTTCATTGTTTCTGGGCTCTTATTTCCTGTGACTAAGAAGACTGATTCTTGTTGACAAACATGTTTGAGGAAGGCAACCCTTCTCACTAACTTCAGCCAGTTTAGGAATACTCCTGAATTGTGGGCATTCTTTCTCTGTTGGTCATAGAAATTGTTCTCTGTGATCTTGTTGCTTTGACTCATATCTGGTTATTGTTTTTCTTTTTCAGTCCACTAGCCTATAATTGTTTTTCTGCAGCAGTGTAATTGCCATCAGTCCCCCTTATACTGGCTGATGGGGATGCCAGAGCAAGTTTGAATCATCAGTGACTCAGAGAAGTCCAGCTCTGGTATTTGAATGATTTGGTTAATTTCTTTTTTTTTTTTTTAAGTCTTTTAGGCTGCCTGTTCTCATTATGTTTTTCTGTCAGGAGCAAGGACTCATTTGCCCACCTGACAAAAAATCCTCCTGTGTTGAGTGACATTACTGAATCATTTTCTCTTTAATTCTTAATTCCAAATACTTTAGAATTCGTCTTGGTACACTTTGCCATAACCACTAAGACATCTGATTTGCTGTTGTTTTTACTCTCTACCCCTTCTCTGGAATAATCCGCACCTTCCTACTCACCCTTAGTAAGGATTGTCAGCATTTCAACTTAGAAGTTCTCAGTCTCATTATCTGAGTTCTCATGTCAAATAAAACTGGTCTTATAGTCAGACAGTGCCAGGTTTCCAAATTTCCTTTTAGGTCCATCGAGGGATACCAGTAAGGAGGCTGCTCTTAGCATGCAGATTTGGCTTTCTTGGCTGCAAAACTATGAAATCTTAAGATTAAATTTTTTATGTTTTCTTCTTGGACAAAGAACTCCTTTCCCCGATCATTTGCTTTTGTTGTTTTGTTTTGTTATGGGTTGTACCATATGTGAAAGATCCTAGATATTTAAATAGAAGTCAAAGTAGAATCTCAAAAACAATTTATTTCTTAAAAAAAGAATTCTTGTGTCCTCCAGTAAATGAAATACGAGGAATCCTGAAGCTCAATCTGGGTGTAGCCACCTGTTTTATTTCATTGACTTTTCTAGTCCAGAGAGGGTTGAGTTTTCATTTTCCACCCCATCCTCATTCTTTTGTGAGCTTACTTCAGACAAATATCATTTTCCATATGCTGCAGCCTTCTTTGTTAGCTCGTAGAGAAACTCAGTCTATAATACTGGAACAGTAGATACATTCTTAAAAATTTTACCTAAGTCCAGTTTTTAGAATTGAATCTTTTTATGAACAGTAGGATTCTGATGAAATATTTTATAAAGCACAGCATCTTTATATAATGTTTTTTCAGTTGTGATTTCCAAGTTTTATCTGTCAAATGTCCAATCTTAGGTTGCTTATAGTCTACCGAAGAAGGTGGACATATGACCAAATAAATGTGTGCGAGATAATAAATACTCTAGTGTACATCTGAATAAAATACCAAGAAATTAGTGCAGGGGTCTGCTAACTGTCTGGGGACTGTGTTTGGTACTCAGTAGGTACTCAATAAACATTTCTTGAATAAATGAAAATTGAAGAAGTTTTCATCTCACATACTCTCTTTTTCTAATGGATAGTAAGGCAGAAGAAAATGTCTCAATAATATTTTAGAAAAACTAATACACTTTTAGCAAAGTATTGTTTTTAATATAGAGAATCATAACCCTCTCATGGACAAGTAAATACAATCACCAGAGAAATGTGAGCTATAATTATCCTCTGTTATTTCCTTGAATTCAGAGAATTATGTCATGCAAACTTGGCCTCAAACTAGAGTTAATAAAACTACACATCTCTCTTCCCATGTGAAGCAGAAAATGTCTCCACTGAGCCCCAAAGAAGTGTCATTTTTACTCCCCATTTTTGTACAGTAGTCCTGGGCTCCTCACAGTCTTTCAGGAATCTTGATAGGAGTATTTCGTGCAAAGGAAAATTTTACTTTTACTGATTCATTCTGATTCATACTGATAAGTGGCATATCCATTCCCTCAATGATCCCCTAATTATGTGATTTTCGAGTTGTTTTTCTTCCCAGTAGCAAGTTCCCGTTTGTGGGCCCTGTTAGTCCTCCTACCCCTTGGCTCAATGTAACTCTTTTGGTTTCTGTTTCTTTGTTGCTGTTTCTATTTGGAACTTAAGCTCTTGAAATATGAGTAGTTCTCCATCTCGGGAATCAATTTAATAATCTACATTTTTCAAAATCTACTTAAGAGTTCAGGAATCTCCCAGTAGCCTCAGGGACTTCTTAACTCTTCTTTGTTAAACAGGGCATTGAGAATTTGCTAAGATATTAGGGGCTTTTGGTGTGTGTGTATTTATTGTGACGATTACTGTAACATCATTTCATAAGCATAATCAATTTTTACATACATGGCTGGTACAAGGGGAAAAGTATTTTTTTTATTGTGACGTCACCCTCTTTATTACCTAAGGAGACCGGAGTTCAGATGTCGACCTCTGAACCACTATGTCAGTGAGCCCAGTCTGTCTTCTTAGGCATATAGTACACCTTTGGCTCATTTCACAAAGGCCCAGTGAGGATTAACGCAGACACAGTGTTTCTTGATAAGTGAATTGATTACCAAAAAGTCAGTTGATTTCAATATGGTGTATTTGTAACGAATGTGAGACAAAAATGATATTCCAAGTCTCTAATATTTTGCTACAGCAGTTGTACCTATGCCATTTAGCCAAATTATCCCCAAAATGTTTTCTTCAGCACGTGGTTCCAAGTTTTTAAAGATGGAAAGAAACAGAAAGTTCTTTTCTTTGAGCAATGTTCTGAAGTTTACAAAACGCGTTCTTCCATGTGATCCCACTTGATCCTCATGACAGCTCCTCAAGCTGTGCAAGGCAGTTCTCATTCTCCCATTTTATAGACGCGTTAACCCAGAAACAGAGAGTGAATGAGAAACTGCCTTAGGCCACAGAGCCAGGAGAACTCAGGTTTTCTCCATCCTGGTTTAGTAATATTCTCCAAGCATTAATGACTGTTTGGACTGTGGACTCAGTTTTTTTTAGATGCAGGCTACTCTGTCGCCCTTACAGATCTATTTATCAAAGAACTATCTCGAAGCTAAACATCAAATACACGGAGCTAGAGGCAACCCAGAAGGGTATGTCTGGGGCCCAGTGAGGAATTTAGACTGCAGAGTTATAAGGAAGTTGATGACCAAATAGTAGACATTTTATGGTGAGGTGTGATAGAATTGGAGGTAGGACATGGCCTGAGCAATTAAGACAATATTGAGGGCAGGAGTTTTAAAATAAAAGTCTAGTGTCACGGAAACCAAGAGGATCTGGTTGACTGTAAGGGGGCTATGAAGGCTGCTCTCTGTTCTGACCATCTGACAGTCAAAAGAAGACACAATTTATAGTGCAGTCATAGGGCCACTCTTAGGAAAAAGGCTGGTTGTATTAAAGGACAGGTACATCCTGTCAAGCTGAGGAGGAGGTTTTGCTCTAAAGTTTCAAGTCGCCTGTTCCCCTTTGACTATTCCTTTCCCACTTGTAATTCTTATCCTTTTCTCTGTCCTTTTCTTAGCTTCATTGGGATCAGAGATCTCAATCTGGTCTTATTATGTTAAAATTTTTATATGTGTATGAACAGACTATCCCTATGAAATAATATTAATATGGGGCTTATGGCCTTTTTTTTTCCCCTCAGAGGAACAAAGAAACAGCATCATCAACTCCAGTTTAGAATCTGTCGTCTCATCAAATGCAAACAGCATCCTCAATTCCAGCAGCAGTTTACAGCCCAACATGAACTCCAGTGACCCAGACCTGGATGTGCTCAAACCCACCCGGCCCAACTCACTGTAAGTATGATGTCCAGTGGCCTGCCACAGTAGGCCCTTGGTCAGCCGTTTCACCCAGACTTTGCTCTCTGGTCCCTTCTGACTTAGAGCATTGCCCCATGAACATGATCTAAACCTTCTCCCTAAACTTGGAGCTTGGCTGTTTCGTTAGAGATTTTTTTAAGCATCATCGTCTCCAAGGGGAATCATTATTCTTAAACATGCTGCTTCTTGGCCTTGGTGATCTTTGATTTACCATCCTGCTGAGATGGCTTTGGTGATGGCTGTTGCCTGTGTTGGCTGCTGGGCATGAAAAGCAATTTCTTTTGGTTTTACAAACATCCAGGCACTGCAGTAGCTCAGCAGATCAGTAGCCAAGTCTATTTCACTCATTCATGTTGTCTCAGTTTCCCTTCTCCCTGACTTGTTGAGAATTTTCGGTGCCACCTCTGTGTCCACTTCCAGAAAGAAGAGCCCCCAGTAGCCCTTTGGGTCTTCAGACCCTCAAACCGTAGCATGACTGTTCGCATACCAGAGACTCTAAAAGAGAAGAACTTCTATTGCTTCCTTCTTGGGTATTGAGCACTTGTTGCCGAGACAGGCAGTTTTGGGGCTGCTTGTCCAATCCTCCACTGAAATGATCTACTCTGCTAGGGCCAGAAGAGTTCTCCCTTGTGGTTTCATCCCACACTGCTTAGCATGCTTCTTCAGACCACTCCATAAATCTTGTCTGCTAGAGCCTTTCCAGAAAGAATGTGAGGCCGTGACCAGAACAGCTGGACTCCCAAGCTGCAGCTGTGTAAGACTCAGGAAAAGCAGCGTTGACTTGGCCTTTCTCTGGTGAAAAGAGGTCGAGGGTCAGCAGCAGGTTGCCTCAGAGCGGTTGTTTCATTTGGTGAAACACCAGGATGTCAGAGCTTTTCCTGCCCCTCTCCATGCCGTGATGCATGAACACACCCTGCCATTCTATCTCTTTGTGATATTTACAGATCTGCAAAATGGGTCCAGAAATTTTTGCCTTAGAAGAAACTAAGGGATATTAAGGCTTGGAAGGAAAAAGAACTCTAAAATGGACTTAGAGGTCCTTATGCTGAAAACGCAACAACAGTGTAAGATGAAATTGTACATCAGGAAAATCAGGTCTCTGTTTCGTTGCTGGCATCTTTAAATCCTGCCTTGATATTCAGGAAGTTTACTTCTTACCTGTTGATTGCTAGATAATGTGTTTGTTCACCAAGAAATAGACCAGTGCCTCAAGAGCTCAGAATAATTGACCCTGACAGCATATGGGCAGTGATTCTCCTCTGTCTCCATGGCCAGACTTGCCTGCAGAGTCTCTGTCCCTTGCCCTGTGCTCTCTCAGGCACTCCCAGACCCGCCTCCCTCAACTTTAAGGAGATTCTAGCTTGGTTGTCTTTTTTTTCCATTTTGTTTGAACCTCTGTACCCAGCAGTTGCGGAAGTTATTTGTTGCTCAGCGTGAGCAAAGTTGAATATCTAGCCCAAGTTGCTTCACATCCCTGATTCTAGCCAGCAGTACCAACTGGTGGTTTTTAATCTTTGTTTTCAGCGGCTGGGAGCCGGGAGCCTCCTGAGTCACCACTGAGTACAGTGTGTCCAAAGAGGCTGCTTTGGCAGCTAAGTGAAAAAGGGGGGTATGTCTTTTAAACAGGTCCTGGAGCAGGCGCTTGGGATTTTTTAGTTTTCACTTGTCTAGATGTGGTTTGTTCTACGTGAAACACCGGGGGTCACTCTGCCCGCTTCGTGCTATTCATGGTGACTGTCCCCTGCCTGCTAAAGATTTGGGGGACTCTCCCAGGGAAAGCAGGGTGATGCCAGGAACAGTTTTACTTGTTTGCCTTTGAAAGAGGCTTGGAGGGAGGAGTGTGGGTGTGTTTCCAACAAGACTGCTGTCCTTCCAAGCTGAATGAATATCTGACTGATGCCTGTGAGTCTTGAGCTCAAGGAAGGCTGTTCTTGAGGTGGAAGCAGTGCTGATGCCAGCGCTGACACCAGAGTGTGCCATGATCCTGAATGAGGGCCACGCCAGAGGCCCTGAAGCCCTGCAGTAGGTTCATCGACCGTTTCTGAAACCCAGGACAGTGAGATGTTGTTCCCCAGTTTGTGCCTCCCCAGTTTTTTCTGCCTGGGATTTTCCTGGGTGAGCCAGAGACGGAAGCTTGGTGGTCCTGGCAAGCAGAGTCGCAGTACTTTCCTTGAGTAAATGAACTCTGAGAAGTCTGTTGGGACGCTATGCCTCTGTGATTGGGCTCAGTCGCAATGGACCAAGAGCACTTGGGTCTCAACCTCAGTTCTGGACCCTTTCATTCCCTCCATTATTGTCTACTTTGAAGTGCACAGAGACCTTGAATGGGAACTCTTAATGACACAGATGAAAACAAAAAACAAAGTCGGGGGTGGGGGATTACCATAGCATGAATATTAATTAGGTGTAAGGTAGGGAACCAGTCACCAGAAAACTGTCTGTTCTTTTTATTTCATTCATTTGTTTTTCATTATTTTCATAATGACTAGAATGATCATTATGACCACATAACAATCATAACGAAAGAAACATGTTTGTGACTCAGCACCCTTTGGTACTTCAGAGACCGTACTTTGCTATCTCATTGGTAAATCTTCTCTAATTCTCCAAGGAGATCAGGGCCCTCTTGTTTGTGGGGGCATAATGCTGTATCAGGCATCAAAATTAGAGATGCCGCCATTATAGCTGTGCCGGGGTAAGGCTGCAGGGTTTAAATCTTTGGCAGGTCCTAAGCAAGACTTCCTGAAGTAGCCATCTCTCCTGAAGATCAAAGGACACTTGGTAAGCCAGAACCAAAGTCCAGCTAGTCTAAAATTATGGCAAGTACTGCTGACCTATTTTGTGCTCAGGTCTATGCTAAGCTACCTGGGATAAATTAGAAAAAGGAGGATTCCTGGCCTCTCCAAGAGTTTACAGTCTGGCTAAGGAGGAAAGACAGTGGTATATGGCAGTGCTAAGTGGGACTTATAGCTCATAAGTGCATTTACAGTTTGGCAGCTATTAACTGAATATCTGTTGAGTGCATGCACCAGAGTATTGGGAAAGGTGAAGTAGACAAATTGTGAGATGGGCAGAGGTGAGATTATATGGGGATGAAGAGCATTCCAGATAAGGGGGATGAGAGAGGCAGAGATAATCCAAGATGGAGAAAAACAGCCTACAGACATGTGTGTTGGGGGAGGAGGAGCTTAGTTCCTCCCCACCACTACCACCAAAAAAAAAATATTGAACCAACCTTTAAAATCAAGATACTTTACAGAAAAATCCAGATTTCATGCTGGAACAACTAGACATCCACATGCAAAAAAATGAATCTAGATGGGCCCAGCCTGGTGGTGTGGTGGTGAAGTTCGCATGCTCCACTTTGACGGCCTGGGGTTCATGGGTTCAGTTCCCAGGTGTAGACCTAGCACCGCTCATCAAGCCATGCTGTAGCGGCATCCCACATAAAGTAGAGGAAGATTGGCACAGATGTTAGCTCAGTGACAATCTTCCTCAAGAGAAAGAGGAAGATTGGTATCAGATGTTAGCTCAAGGCCACTCTTCCTCCCCCCGCAAAAAAGAATCTAGACACAGACCTTCTACCTTTTACAAATATTAACTCAAAATAGATCATAAACCCAAATGTAAAATGCAAAACTGTAAAATTTCTAGAAGACAACATGAGAAAAAATCTTGGTGACCTTGGGTTTGGCAAAGACTGTTTAGATACAACATCAAAAACATGATCCATGGAAGAAAAAATTGGTAAGTTGGACTTCATATACATTAAAAAAAGTCTGCTCTGCAAAAGACACCATTAAGAAAGTAAAAAGCCAAGTCACAAGTCGAGGAGAAAATATTTGCAAAACACATATCTGATAAAGGACTAGTATCTAAAATATACAAACAGCTCTTAAAATTTAATAGTAAATAAACAACCCAATTAAAAACTGGACAAAAGATCTGGACAGACACCTCACCAAAGAAGACATACAGATGCAAAAAAGCATTTGAAAGGATGCTCAACATCTTAGGTCATTAGGGAATTGAAAATTAACACAATGAGATATGACTACATACCTATTAGAGTGGCTAAAATCCAAAACACTGACACCGAGTGCTGATGAGGATGTGGAGCAACAGGAACTCTCCTGCATTGCTGGTGGGAATGAGAATGAGACACCTACTTTGAAAGACAAATTGGCAGTTTCTTACAGGCTAAACATTTGCTATACAACACGATCCAGCACTCACACTCATAGATGTTTACCCAGATGATATGAAAACTACTTATGTCCACACAGAAACCTGCCCGCAAGTGTTTATAGCAGCTTTATTCTTTATTGCAAAAACTTGGAAGCAACCAAGCTGTTCTTCAGTAGGTGAGTGGATAAACAAACTGTGGGACATCCAGACAATGGAATGTTTTTCAGTGATAAAAAGAAATAAGCTATCAAATCATGGAAAGACATGAATGAACCTTAAATGCATATTACTAAGTGAAAGAAGCCACTCTGAAAAGACTACAATATGGTATGATACCAACCATGTGACATTCTGGAAAAGGCAAAACTATAGAGTCAGTAAAAAGATTAGTGGGCAGGAGGGATGAATAGTGGAGCACAGGGCATTTTTCAGGCAATGGTACTATTCTGTATGACACCAGAATAGTAGGTACAAGACATTATGTATTTGTCAAAACTCATAGAACACAAAGAGTGAATCCTAATGTAAACTGTGGACTTCGGTTAATAATAATGTATTGATACTGGTTCACCATTTATAACAAATGTACCACACTAATGAAAGATGTTAATAATAGGGGGAATTTAGGGAGTGGGGAGAGATATATGGAAACTGTAAGTCATTTTGAGCAATTTTTATGCTTTAAAAAATAGTCTATTATATTTTTAAAAATTTAGATTTCCAGCTTCTTTTGAAAAGTTAGAAGATTTGGCCACACTAAACCCGGATGTTACTTGGTAACAGATGAT